TGGCATCCTATCACAGTTCCACGCTGGAATTCACTGAGCTCCTGAGAGCGACCCATTCTTTCACAAATGTTTGTAAAAACAGTCTGCATGCCTAGGTGCTTGAATTTTTATACCTGTGGCCATGGAAGTGATTGGAACACCTGATTCCAATAATTTGGATGGGTGAGCAAATACTTTTGGCAATATAGTGTATATAGTTCTCTATTTGTCACATTGATAACATTTGTTCTTTGGGATTGATGAGACTGATTACAAAAAAATGTCAGCCATGGATCCCTTTATAAAAAAACAAAAGACAAAAAAAGAATGTGCGTCAGTAGATTTCTAGAATTAACCTATATAGGCATTTCAATTTCCCAGGAAACCACTTAAATCAGTCATTTGAGAGTTAGCATTTAGCTTTTCCATAGTAATGACAAAGCATGGTTTGTCTGGTGTAAAGATATCCCAAATTAACTCCTGGTATAGAGGTCTTACATTAATGTTATAGTGGCACGGTAATAGTACAGAAATGTTGTAAAAACAACATGCAGGGAATGGTGTAATAATGGGAGCACAATCATTTATGATTGAAACAGCAAAGGTACCTGTAGGTATTCAACTTAAAGGTATAGAGGATTTCCGGGTGGATCATCTAAATAAGTGGTCCTCAAAATTGTCAATCATTCTGGTGACACGTTTACGCAAAGCCTTCCTACGTGCTCGTCCCGTTAGCTATCTTTTTCTGCACATGCGCACTTTCAGGCATATATCTGTGTTTAGCTATGGTTTCAGACATTCATTGAAGCTCACCTTTCTCACCGTGGTTCTTTGAAACTGGCCGAGGGTCGTAAGAGAAAAAGTGTCTAAGTGTATGAGAAGAAAAGAAAGGCCTCAGAAGAGGCAGATATTTCCCAGAATGCTTTGTGCGGAGAGGTTTCCTCTCAAAGTAATATGGGATTTGCTGTCACCATAGGTTGTCGCTACCATACAGCTTACAACAAAGATGGCGCAGGCACCATGCAGTGGAGGAGGAGTTACTTGAGCGACAGGGAGCAAAAAGGAGTGATCATCCGTCTGAACGGTCAGTTAACTGAGCTCACTGTTCCAACGCCAATTTATGCTTCTGACGCATCGCCTCTGCAACCCTCAAATCTGTCTCTGTGCGTGACCATGCCCCCCATGCCGGGGGTCTGGAAACGTCGTTGCACACCTAAAAAAAAAATCCAGACTATGCGTCGGACGGTCGAAAACCCACGCACACATCAAGTGGAAGTGCGCAGACAAAAAGCAGCTGTGATTGGTCCTTGGTATGCCTTTCCAGCTGTCTGTGTGGCCGTCCTTCTCGATTCTGTGCCAGGGCGCGCCATTTTTAAAAACTAAGAAACAACTACACCG